AGCAATTTTCTTACATACTATCACTGATGAGATACTATTATATTAAAGACGTCCGAGCTTACGGAAGTTCGCGTGACTGTTAAAATGTGATTAAGAGTAAGAAACTGGTATAGTACTAATTTTATGATTTATTAGTTTTGTAGACACATGTATACTTTTAAATACTCGATTTTTATTTAAAATTAATATAACTTTAATGTTATTGTCTGAATTTAATTATTATTATTAGGAATAATAACTGTAGAGGAAAAAATTTAAATTTTGCTTCAATATAAGATAATATAGCATTACAAAAGTATGCATACTTATTTATGCAACATTTATATAATCAAAAATTTAATATCGTATTATCCAAATATTTCTGTTAAATTGCAAATTTTTTATATTAATTGTCGATTATATCATCGTTCTTCAATTATCCCCGGACTCCTCGGGCTTTAATGATTGTCACAAAAATTTGCCCAAGACCGACCGTCTTTAATAATTATCTCGTCGATGATACTGTAATACAAGAATAAAAATAGGAGAATCTGTTTTGCCTACGTATATTTTTATTTTAATTAAAATTTTTATTTAAAATTTTATTTAAAAATAGTGGATATTTATATAACTTAAAAAAATTTTTATTACTTTTTGAAATATAATACTTTATATCGTTTTGACACCATCGTTTTTAACAATTCCATTTCATTTAATAGCAATGCACTTCAAATTTGGTCTTCTTTGGAAATGAGGTTTTGAAACAATAATTTTTTCGGAATTAAGCCAGTATTTATAGTTTATATTTATATTTAAGACTGTCTTAAGTACAGACTTAAAACATAATCAAGCAATCAGAGAATCATATAGCATCTTAAGACGGTTTTGAAATAAGAATAGATTCTGAATACCGGCCTTAGATTGTTAGACTAATGTCTAACTCTTTAACCTGGGGGATCGATGCATATATTAACTGATATATGGGACCTACAGTGTTTAATGCCGGCTCCGAATGATGGCAAATATATCGGTGGTTTGCTATTGCTTTCTAAGAAGTAGCGATCAAATCAAATTTTTGTGTTTTGAATGGATTTGAATCCTGGATCTCTGGCATAGAGAACAACTGTGTACGTTCCCAATGATCGACACATTTTTAACAATTGATTTATAAATTGTTCATAGATGCAAAGGGTAATTGTACCTCGGAACAATGTGCATATGTTACCTAAGGACACAAAATTAAACATTTTATATGGAAGAAACAACTTTAACTCTATTGAAGTTTATAATTAAACTATAACTATTAGTAATAAAGATATAACTCTTAGGGTAATTCAGACAAATACGCCTCAGTGCTGAATGCGCCTCACTTTTTATAGATATTTTATGTAAACTAGAGGCAACAATCAAATATTGATTTGTCCCCAAAAGAATATTATCCTAATAAAAAGTTAAGAAACAAGATATGTAAAAACGTTAATTATACATTCAACACTGACAATAATTATTTTAATAACAGATTTTTTAAGATTTTAAGACGAAAATTTTTATCCGAAAATGTCGAGACTGTAATAATTTTTAAATGGAAAAAGTTTGATTATGACTAGAATTTCACAAGTTAAAGAAAGACAAGGTAGTCAGTTATGAATTCCACGAACTACACGTCTTCAATAATAATGAATTATTGTACAAATGTGAATTTCATTAAGAAATTATTTTCGTTTGTTTATAATGAATTTATTGTAAAAATAGATCAAAAGATTTAGGTAGCACATGTTGATTAGAATATATATATTTTATAATAAATAGATTTTACAAATGTGTTTAATATTATGATCATTTAGGAAACGTATGTAAAATTATGTGTTACTTAGGTTAATCATAATCTGGAGATGTCTTATAAACAATATTGGAACAAATTATTATTAAATAAAATCAAAGGAAACACAATTTATTTCTTTAAAATCAATATATCTTCTTGTTTATAACAAATATGGGAAAAATAAAAAAAGAGATTAACAAACAAATAATGTAAAATTTTTTTCAAAAAATTTTCTAAAAAACATATAATAAAATTGATTTTACTAATATTTCTGTGTTTCTTAATTTTAACCTCTTTTGTTATTATATATTTATAAGGAGTATGTATAACAAGAATAAAATAATATATAATTTTGATTTTATAACTGATTTTGATTAATATCTTATATTATCTGTTTGCAAATCTTTACACACAAATTATATAATTTTAAATTTTATCGAATTCTTGATGAAATTTTTTGAAATTTATTTAATCGTTTTTTGATCATTTTGTGATCTCTGTTTTAGGTGGCCGAAGAAAGAGAGGAAAATAAACATAGAAACAAGGAAAACACACCATATGGCGAATATGGCGGTTGGCACAAGGCTGCGAAGGTGGATTCTCCTACCGTTACTACTACTTTAAAGAATCTTGGTGCCCTTTATCGAAGACAGGGTAAATACGAAGCTGCTGAAACGCTCGAAGATTGCGCCTTGAGATCTCGAAGAGAGGTAGATAATATTTGTATTAACTCCTTTGATAAAGAATATCCAAGAATACAAGAATTATTATGTATAATTGCAAATAATATAACTAACAATATTTCTTACATTTCTCGCACGCAGCACGTGCAACAAGTGAGTAAAAGTTTCTTAGCACTGTTCTAGAATCTTGCATGATTTTTGCACATTGCAAAGTTACACAAAATTAATTTTCTTTGTCTGTGTTTAAAATGTTCTTTTTTAAATATTTTTTAATTCTAATTTTAATTTGAATTAATATAATGTTAATTAATCGATTGCCACACAATAATTAATATATATAAATAAAATTTCTTGATTGTTTCTTCAAGTCACATCTATAATTATGCTGCAATAACATTTTAATAATTATTAAAACAATCAATTATAAAATAAAAAGGCCCGTCATTAAGAGAGAAACATTTTTTTATTCATCTTGGAATAAATTTATGGTTTTAGGCATTGGTAGTCAAAATGTTAAATAATAGATTATTTTTTTCAGCTAGACTCCTTGCACAATTCATTTTTTCTCCTCTTTCTTTAACGTGAAAAGAAAAAGAAGAAATATCAATTGTGCAAAAAGTTCAAGTTAAAACCAGGCCTTTAAATATTTAGATCAAATATTAGAGAGAGAATTATATAATAAAATTACAAATTAAAACTAATAAAAAATACATATATTTAATATATATATGAAATAAAAAATATATATATGCATTAAAAATAGTATAAAAATTAAAATTTGATTTAATTAGTTACAATAATATGCATTTGTAAAATAATTTGTTTTTATTTTTCTTCTTGCAGGCATTAGAACTAGTGAGTAAGGCACGAGTGGTACAGACGCTGTTAGGCGATGACAAAAGCTCTACCAGACGTGGCTCACGATCCAGTCTGGCTAATAGCGAACACGAACAAAATCATGAAGAGGTGAGTTTTTTTTTCTATCGTTTGTTATTTCGATGTATAAATTAGCCGTATGCACTTCCGCATGCTATGCAGTAGCTGACACAAACACTTATAGCCGTCTACTATCCTTTTCTTCTTTCTTTTTGTTCTTTTTTTCGTTTCGTCGTCCGTCACGTCCGGCACAACCTGATCTGACCGAATTCTGGCCGAATCTCATCGGCGACCGCACTCGCACGCATACGAACGCAATCGAACGCAGGTGAACAGTTCGCTGCCATTGGTGCAAAGGGCACTACATGAAGGACAGTCAGCGGCGAGCAGTGGCCAGCACCAACATGATGCTAGTCCTAACAAACCCGGGTTTAAAAATAAGATCTTCCAAGCTTTTGGCATTCACTCGTCATCTACATAAGCCGGGTGGATTCCATTTTCCGTTTCTTGTTAGCTTCTATTCCGCTTTATTGATTCGTTAAATCCGTTCTCTTCAGCTGCGTATCCTGTATTTTTTCTAACAAGTTTTATCTATCCTCTATAATGCTTTCTTATAACATTTGTCTCATCTTAAATACAGAATACATACATATATATACATACATACGTACATATGTATGTATATATAT